CGCGGCTCGCGCCCGTTTCTGGAGCTCCTTTAGGCAGCGCTCTTAAAACCCCTCTCCTCGCGCACCAGGAAACACAGAGGCAAGAAAAAGTCTCTTGCCTCCTCAGCAGGTGCAGCCTTTTCCCCGGACTCCCTCCCGGCCAGCCGTGGCGCACTAACCCCCTGCAGGCTGTGTTCACGCCGCCAACCCCAGTCCTCTCCCTGCGCTCCGACCGAAACCCGAGCCTCAGCTCGCAGCCCCGCCCGCCCCGGCGGGCGCGCACACAAGCCTCTCGGGCTGGTGAGTGCCGGTCGGCACCGATCCTCTGTGCGGGAATCTCTCCGCTTTGCCCTCCGCACCCTGTGGCTGCGCTCTCCCCCGCGGCTCCGAAGCTCCCCCTCCGCCTCCCGCAGTCTCCGCCCGCGAAGGGGCTCCTAGTGTGTGGAGACCTTTCCTCCTTCACAGCTCCCTCCCACTGGTGCAGGTGCCGTCCCTAGCCTTTTGTCTCTGTTTATTCTTTTTTCTTTTGCCCTACCCAGATACGGGGGGAGTTTCTTGCCTTTTGGGAGGTCTGAGGTCTTCTGCCAGCATTCAGTAGGTGTTCTGTAGGAGTTGTTCCACGCTTAGATGTATTTCTGGTGTATCTGTGGGGAGGAAGGTGATCTCCGCGTCTTACTCCTCCGCCATCTTTCCACCGCCCTCTCAGTATTTTGTTTTTAAATAAATTTATTTATTTATTTTATTTTTGGCTGTGTTGGGTCTTTGTTGCTGCACGCAGGCTTTCTTTTAGTTGCAGTGAGCGGGGGCTACCCTTCGTTGTGGCGCGCGGGCTTCTCATTGCGGTGGCTACTCTTTGTTGCGGAGCACGGGCTCTAGGCACACAGGCTCCGTAGTTGTGGCGCACGGGCTTAGTTGCTCCGCAGCTTGTGGGATCTTCCCAGACCAGGGCTCGAACCCGTGTCCCCTGCTCTGGCTGGAGGATTCTTAACCACTGCGCCACCAGGGAAGTCCAACACGAAAGTATCTTTTTCTTCAAGTTGAGCCACAGTGAGATTTAAGAATTTCTAAAAATATGAGGGACTTCCTTGGTGGCTCAGTGGTTAAGACTCCGCCTGCCAATGCAGGGGACACAGGTTCAAGTCCTGGTCCGGGAAGATCCCACATGCCACTAAGCCCATGCGCCACAACTACTGAAGCCCTGTGCGCCTAGAGCCCGTGCTCTGCAACAAGAGAAGCCACCGCAATGATAAGCCTGTGCCCCACATTGAAGATTCAACACAGCCAAAAATAAATAATAATAAAAAAAATAATAAATTTTAAAAATAAAAGATAAAAATATGAGGATAATACATTCAAATCAGTTATGATTAAGGGAAGCTAGTGGTGTTTAGGGTATGTCCTTCAACCTCCTGAGACTGATATCAGGGAAAAATACGCCCTTTCAGAAAAGATTCTAGAATGCCACTGTGAGAGAGAAAATGCTAAGCTGGCCTGACCCGTTTGGCATTTCTTTGGCATAAATTTGTTCTTAAAGTGATTTTTTTCTATTATGGAAGTAGTTCCTGTTCATTATGGAATAACTGTAAAATAAAGAAGGATTCTAACTCAAAAAGAATCACTTAATATTTTGGTGTTTTCAAAGCAGAAAGAGAGACACAGACATAGAGAACAAACATATGGATACCAAGGGGGAAAGAGGGTTTGGGATGAGTTGGGAGATGGGGATTGACAAATACACACTGTTGATACTATGTGTAAAATAGATAACTAATGAGAACCTACTGTGTGGCACAGGGAACTCTACTGAATGCTCTGTGGTGACCTAAATGGGAAGGAAATCCAAAAAAGAGGGTATATATGTGTACGTGTAGCTGATTGACTTTGCTGTATAGTGTAAACTAACACAATATCGTAAAGCAACTATACTCCAATAAAAATACATATATATATATATATATATTTTATTTTTGGTGTTTAAAAAATAGTTCAGTGTATATATAACTTTCAAATATATATAGCAGTATTCTGTGTTCCTTTAAAACAAGCCATTTAAATATATGTGAAAAAGAAAGAACAGTGTAATTAATGTTTTAAAATTATCTGCCTATTTCTTTTGCTTCTAAAACAGTTACATCTAGAGAGAATGAAAAGGTATTTTCATGTCGAACAAATACTGTTATAGGTTCACTTTAATAAAATGCCTTAGCATTTGTTGAAGTACAGCTGCTAAAAAGATCTTACTTTCCAAGGAATCTGGAGCATTTAATTTCTTACATATAAATGATTGTGCAAAATCATCTCATTTCACCTATCTCTTCTTTTTTTGTTTTCCTTCTTATTAACACATCGTTGTACTTTTGAACAGCTTTCAGGATTTATAGATGGCACACATTCCCTTGAGCAGTACTGTCTTTATTCCATAAAGGTGTAGTCTTAAGTTCTTTTAAAATTATTTTTCCATTTAATCAACATTCCAAAGAAGTGATTTGGCTAAGTATCAAGTGAGCGGAACGTTCTTATACAGACCGTTGTGATATGAATTTTGTGTACAGAGGCTAAAGGAGTGTATGCAAACTCAGAGACACAGTGCAGTCATGTGGTATTTGCTCCTTGTTAGAGTGGAGGTGTGTTTACCTTTGGTGCTGGTTCCTGTGGGCAACTTGGACATGATTCCATGAATGATGAGGTTAATCCAAGAAGAGTTCTGGAGCTGATGGGCAGTGAAGTCACTCAGATTGCCTGTGGCAGGTGAGTGGTCCTAAGAGCTTCCTCATAGCTATTAAGACCCAGAAATGGATCATGTCTTTGTAGTGATGGAGAATGTGGTTAGACCCAGCCACCATCCTTTTAAGAAATCTTAACTGCATGCACACCTATGGTGAAAGTTTGGAGAGAGTCCGATCTGAGCAGGGTGTGGCGAGGAAGGGTTTTAGAGAAGCAGAGCCACCTGGAGCCAGTATGCTTCTTTGGGGTAAAGAATAGCACGATGTGTGGGAGACGTGAAGAAAGGAAAGTGAGAGAGGCTCAAAGAACGTCTTGGAAATTTTGCTGGTCCCCCCCGCTCCCCCGCCTCTTCCCACTCATCCCAGATGCAGCAGGGCCTTCAGCTCTTTCCGAGTCTTACCATCATCCCGATGACCTAGATTATCAGGGAAGAATGGTGTTACGAAGAGCCAGCGCTGCAAAAAAAACAGGCACATGTGAACACAAGGGGCACCCCTAGGAATTGCAGTGCTCACACGTGGAAGTGAAAAGTCAGAGTGTGTATTCACCCGTATCAGAAGGGATGCTGATGTGTTAATTTACATTATTTTCCCCCAGACAACACACCCTAGCCTTTGTGCCTTCTTCTGGACTCATCTATGCATTTGGTTGTGGAGAAAGAGGTCAGTTAGGAACTGGACACACTTGTAATGTCAAGTGCCCGTCTCCTGTGAAAGGTTGCTGGGCCGCCCATAGCGGCCAGCTTGCAGCCAGAGCTGGTAAGAGTGATTTTTATTAGAATTTAATGGTCTTTTAAATGCTAAAAACAATTGTTTATAGAACACGTATTTATTTTTTACCTTGAGGTCTTTTGGAAGGAATGAATGTGAGATACTTTCTTTGAACGTCAATCAGCAAGTATTTGAGTACTCACTATGCATGAGGCTCTATAGTTGAGATCCTAGAGATTAAAGCAAAACATGTCATTTTGGCCCTAAGGACCTTGATGGTGGCGTATACATTTTATTACTGCTGCTGATAATGAAAGTTCACGTTTATTGAGTGCTTAACCAAGTTCTGTAACCATGCTGAGCCCTGAAAACAACCTTAAGAACGTAGTGGTCATTATCCCCATGTTGGAGATGAGGAAACTGAGTCTTAAGGAGGTTAAGTAACTTGCCCAAGATGATACAAATTCGGGGAACAGGATGTAAAACCAGGTCTGCCTCATTCTGAAGCCTGTGTTCTTTTTTTTTTTTTTTTTTTTTTTTTTTTGTCTTTGCGTTATGCGGGCCTCTCACTGTTGTGTCCTCTCCCATTTGCGGAGCACAG